CTCTTCCTTCCCCCTGCACCACTCTCCACTCCACCCCCCCAGCAACTTCTTGAAATATCCGTCCCAATCCTCCATTTTAATCTGTTCTTGATCTCCCCATCGCTTTCTTTTCCTCTCTCTATTCACTATCTCCCACACTTCTTTTTCTGTCTTCGCTTTCTTTACCCTCTCTATTCACCTTTGATTTTCCTCCTTTCTTTTCCTCTCACATAATTCCTTATATCTTCTTTTCTCCTCTTTGTACCCTTCCTTGCTTCCTCTCTCTCTTCTCCATTTCCGTAGCTTTCTTCTGACTTTCTTCTTCTTTTCTCTGCATTCTTCATCCCACCACCCTTTTTTGCCTTTTACTTCCACTTCTTCCTTCTCTCCTTCTAAACATCTCTCGATTCTTTCCTTCATCCTCTTCCATTCCTCTTCCACTTCCCTTTGCCCTTGCTCTCTATCTTCTCTCAATTCTTTCTTCAGTAACTTCTCTTTCTCTTCTGACCACACCATTCTACCCTTTTTTATTCCGTTGAGATCCCTTTTCCTTCTCCTTCCTTCTTCTTTTAACCATACTACCACCGGTTGATGGTCTGAATCTACTTTATCTTCTATCATTAACTTGTCCACTCCCATCCACGCTCTTGTCCCACCTATTACATAATCTATAACCGATTCTCCTCTTCTTCCTGTGTGTGTCCATTCTCCTTCTTCGTCTCCCCTCACCCCTCCATTCATTATCGCCCAGCCTGTCTCCTCCTCTCAATCAGTGCTTTACCTTCCGCGTTTATTTTCTTGACCTTTGATCTTCTTCCATCCCCTTCCTTATCCGCTTCCTCCCCTCTCACCTCTCCTCCTTCTTCTCCCGTTCTCGCGTTGAAATCCTCCCTACAATTGTTATCACTTCTTCTCCCTCATCTTCCATCCAATCTCTAATTTCCCCTAACTTCTTCTCCACCCCCTCACTCACATATACCCCTACTATTCTCCACCATTTCTTTCCCACTCTTATCCTCTTCACCATTGTTCCTTCTTTTTCCTTCCATTCTTTCTCTTTTTTCCTTTCTAACTCTTTCCTTATACCCAGTACCATTCCCCCTATCGCCCTTTCTTTTCTGTTCTTCCTTCCCGCCCATTGCTTCTCCCATACATAACCTTTTGGTAATTTATTTATCACTTTCCCCCACCCTTTTTCATCCACCCACGTTTCTGTAAACACCATTACGTCCCAACTTCTTAAACTTATCCAAAATTCCTTGTCCTTGTTCCGTAAATCTGCCACGTTCCAAAAGGCCACTTTACAATATTCTTCCCCTACTTTTCTTTTTACTTCATCTTCCTCTTCTCCTCCCCCTTTCTCTTTTTCCCCTTTCCTCTTTTCTCTTAGCTCCCTTTTACCTCCTACCTTCTCCCGCTCACCCCTTCCCCCTTTCCTCCCTTCACCACCATCTGCCCTACTTTTTTTTGCGTAACCAATTCTCTCTTTTATACCTTTCTCTTTATTCCACCTCCACCATTCACTCTCTATTTTTAGTTTATCTCTTTCCACCCAAGCACTCTTTCCCTTTCTCCTTTCCTCTACTGCCATCCTGCTTATCTTCCTTCTTATTTCCCTCTCCTTCCATGTCAAGTCCTCCTCAATCCATATTTTCTTGCCTTTTAGGCTCTTCTTTTTCTCCCATATCTGTTTTTTATCTTCTTCCCTTTCTATTCTCAACCACACCATTTCCCCCCTATCCTCTCCCCCCGTATTTAATCTCCTCATTTCTTCTATTTTCTCTTCCGCTCCAATCTCCTTCATTATCTTTTCTACCCCCCCATCTCCAATCTCCTTTTTCTTTTTGCACCCCTTTTATTATCAAATTCCTCTTTCTTTTTTCCTCTCTCTCTTTTTTCTCCAAATTTTCCTCCATCCGTTGCAACCTTTTCTCCACATTTAGCTCATTTTCTGCTCTCTTCTTCTCCATATTTCCTTTCCCTTTTATCTCCTTTTCCTCCAATTTCTTTTCTAATTCTCTAATTCTCTCCTTTATTTTCTCTCCCTCCACTCTTAAATTTTCTTTCCTCTTTTTCCACTCTTCCATTTCCTTTTCCATTTTTCTTACCTTTCCTATGTATAATTTCATCTCCTTCCTAGTCTTATCTAATTCCTCCCATATCTCCCCCTCTCTTCCTTCCTCCTTATTCTTTTTGCTACCGCCCTCTCCTTTCCCTTCCCCTCCTTTCGGAGATCTCGTTGTCTTCCTACTTTTCGTAAAGACCCACTCCCCCTCATCTTTCTTCCCTTCGTCTCCCTCTCTCTTCCTCTTTACCCACATGTCCAGAGAAGCCGTCGAGCTTCCACTTCCCGATCTCTCTTTCCTTCCTCCTCCAAATTCTTTCCCCTTCTTTTCCATTTTAGTTTTCCTTCTCTCCGTCGCCTTAAGGCTTAAACCTTATCTGCCTTAAGGAAATCCCTAGATTCCCCCAGTCCTTTTCTGCACTTGCACCTTCCGCTCTTTTTGCTCCTTCTGCTCTTTATCCTTCTTTGCCTTTTTCCTCCCTAACCTTCTACCTGCCCAACGCTTTTTGACCTTCTTTTCCACCTTCTTTCTACTCCCCTCACCTCCACCCGTATACTCCCTCACTTTTACGATTTTCTCTTTCACTCACACACTCCACTCTCGTACCCTATCAATTCTATACTACAAAAACAAGCCGTTTCTATTTCCACGCTCTTATGTTCAACTGTCACGCTCGATGACGAAAATGGAAGTCCCCATTCTTTATCTATTTATATTAACAGAAGTTTCAAAAACAAATTTAGAAAAAAATTGGTTAACAAATGTATGCAACAAAATTTTTTATAACAATTCTATTAATGTTTTATAACAATTCTATTAATGTAGGTAAATAGAGGTGTTCTTACCATAAAACTTTTGTATAAAACATTTTTTGATAACTTCAATAGTTTTCGAGATACATACGAGGTCTGTTCAAAAAGTATCGCGAATTTTGTGTTTTTTAAAAAATTATTTATTTATTCATGAATATCTATTTTGTCCCCTTCAAAGTAATTCCCATCAGATATTATACACTTGTGCCAACGTTTTTTCCAATCCTCGAAGCACTTCAAAAATTCATTTTTTGTGATCTTGTTCAAGCTCCTCCTTCGATGCCGTCTTTATCTCCTCAATCGTAGCATAGCGTCGTCCTTTCATGGGCCTCTTCAGTTTCGGAAATAAGAAAAAGTCACAGGGGGCCAGATCTGGGGAATACGGTGGCTGCGGCATCATTAGTGTGTTATGTTTGGCCAAAAATTCGCGCACAAGCAATCAGATGTGTGAGCAGGGGCGTTATCATGATGCAAAAGCCAATTTTTGTTCCTCTACAAATCCGGGCGTTTCTGGCGGATTGCTTCGCGCAAATTGCGCATAACTTGCACGTAATATTTCTTATTGACCGTTCTACCCGGTGGCAAGAACTCATAATGCACCACACCTCTGCAATCGAAGAAAACTGTCAGCAAAACATTCGCGATACTTTTTGAACAGACCTCGTACATAGAAAAAAACGCAAAACCGTGTTAGGGTAATATTACATTTGTCGTACGACAAAGATTTTAAGTACGTTGATTGGCTATCACTATATGTGTGTTAAAATCTTTGTCGTACGACACATGTAATATTAGGCTTACACATGATAAGTGTTACACTCTTTAAAATCGGTTTTAGGCCGCTACTGAAAATTTCTACATTCATGTAGTTATCTATACATTTGTACAAAGATCACTATTGTCGTCGTCAAAGTAATTTGTGTGGAAAAAAAATATGAACTGGTGCAACTCGTACGTAGCCCGATGCGTATCCCCTCCAATGCTACCGCATGCTACCAAAGCACAGAAACTGGCATCTCTGGATTATATAAACTTATTTACCAAAGAGATGGTCAAAGATTATCAGTTGCACCATTTCAATTTTTTTGCGATAGTAGTTCAATCTTTGCTCGAAAACACTATCCTTATCTTATTTGTTATGTCGTTTGTAAAAACATTTCGGAAAACTTTCAATTATTTAAGCGAGAGCACATATTGTCTTTAAACGAGACACAATATGTACTTACAACTCTATGAAAAATAAAACTTATTAAAACTAATCAGCAACATACATTACTTGAAGTGTTATTTTATTAAATTATTTTAGAAATCACATAAAACAAATAAGATAAGGATAGTGTTTTCGAGCAAAGATTGAACTACTATCGTAAAAAAGTGAAATGGTGTAACTGATAGTCTTTGACCATCTATTTGGTAAATAAGTTTATATAATCGTGTCTTTTGATTAATATAAGTATGTCCGAAGAAACATTTTATTCTCAGTGTTTTCCCAGTTATTCCCAGTTTATTCATTTACAACTACAAGAGATCACTATTCTATTTAAAACAGTTCCGTGATCATTGCTTCATACACTTCTCTTTAAAATGACATCGGTTAATGTTGCAGACGTAATAAACATGTTAGCGACTACATTTCAAAGACTCCTAGAATGGCGTATGGACTAACCTGAAGAGGCCCACTGAGCCATTTTCACACCAAGACCAAGACCATGATTTTAGAGAGAATGACGGATTTTAAGGCTAAATAAAAACTACTATAAATAATGGATGCACATTAGTATATTGTTTTTTTTGCGAATATGTACAAGTGTGTGTATATTTTTCTGTTATACTTTGCACAAATTGCGGACTGTCGGATACATGCGGTAACATGTGCATTTTTTTTTTATGTGGTTCAAAAAATATAGCACACTCATGTTTAACACTTTTCAACCAAACACAAAATTTCGGATTTATTTAGTGTTTTACAAACATTGTGACAATGTTATTTATCAATATATAAACCATGTTTCAAAAATTACATTATATATATTACATATTTTTGTATTATTAGTTTGATGTATTGTTAAACATATTTAACTCTTAATTTACGTTTGTTGCTAAAAGGTAATCCCCTGTCCATTGTTATTATCTATTTTCTTTTCTATATTTCTTTATTGATTGCAGCTATTACTTTGGGATCTTTTAAAATTGTTATGTGGTTTCCCTCGACGTACTGTATTGTCACATCGGATGTTATCTAAAAAAACAAAAAAAAAAAAAAAGAAACGAAAACCGTTATGTTTTATCTGTGAATTCTGATAATACTGGCAATTCTTATAGAATGTAAATCATAAATTAGAATCAACTTTCGAGAAATACCTTGTGCAAACCATAATCTTCTTCGGCTTCGGGTGCCAGAGAAAATGTAGGTTTCAACAATATTATTGGAGATGTGATACATGGTACAGTAGGAACTTTGTATTTCTTGAGAATAATTAAATGTTTATATATTGTCGTATACAATGTCTTTAAATTTGTTAGCGAGAGCATTGAGTTTTGTGCCAAAAAGTATTTTGCAAAAGTGTTAAATCTCTCTTTGTCAGTTTTACACTTCTCCAATGTCATCAAGTCCTGCGCGACGTTACAAAATTAAACTATATTACTTTTGATATGTAAAATACATCACATTAATGTAAAGAAAAAAAAATACCTTTTCACTTGTTTCAACTTTATAGGTTTTCAAAATAAGAATCAGAATAGAAATCTGCAAATCGTTATTGTCTGCAGACAATGTTATATAACTCTTGCTTATTAACATTGCTTGATCAGGTGCGCCATCGATAAGAACAATTCGACCTTTAAAGCCTATAGTTTCCAGTCGTATTGCGAGTTCTATCGCAAGAATAGATCCAAAGGAATATCCAACCATCACAAACTCTTTTTTGTCTTGTAATCTTGTTAATACAGCCTGCCACACATTTGATTTTTATTGAAAAAAAAACAAAAAGTATTTCTCAAGATTTATATATTAAATACTTACGAAATATTAACGTCACACACATAAAATAATGTCGCAGCGTACCTGTTCGAGAATCTCTACCATCTCCGACAGAGTATTCCCGGTAGAAATAGCACCTGTGTTATAATGCACAGTTGTAGTAGAAAATTTAAGATTCGACGACTTCAAGTGATTAAACACAGTTCCGCAACCATCAATTCCTGGTATAAGAAAAATTTGAGTAGCACTTTCTTTGTTTTTAGTCGAGAGGTCTGTAAAGATTTCAGAGATGAAATCTTTGTTTTGCACGATATTAAACATGAATGAGTGGTTTTGCTTGCTTCTGTCGGATGCATTTTTCTCATATGTATCAATGGTCTCTGTGTTAGACATTTCTAAAAGTTTTGCAAAAGTGAGACTTCGTATCTCTTGTGGGGAAAGGTACACGTCGAAGTCGCGTTCCAAAGTTTGTTTGATTTCCACTGCCATCATAGAGTCCATCCCAAGCTCGGCCAGAGATGTAATCTGACTTACTCCTTTTATGTCTTTTATATCTTGTATTACATGTAACAAATAGAAAAACCGTCAAATTTTGCAAAAAATACGCTTATAAATGTTTTGCAATAAGATATGTAAGAGAAACGATGCGGTGTATTCTTACCCATAATACTAGCAACGGTTTGATACATATTGGTAAATCCAGGTAATCCTTGTTTCTTCTCTGCCACTACCATGCTACTTACGATCGGTCGACTATGAAGCAAAAATTTTTCGAGTTCGTCGAGGCAAGAGGATATCTTTTGCTGCAAGGTGCCGCCAATAACCATTTCTTTGTTGTCTTCTTGCATGTCGGCAACGAGACCTACGTCACCAACAGCTCCCCACTGTATCGCTAATCCAGGATATCCTTCTCTTACTCTCTTTTCGCATATTCTTTCCATCACGGAATTGGCCATTCCATAATTAGTTTGGCCAGCGTTTCCTCTGCCACAGGAAACCGAAGAGAACACAACAAAATGTCGAAGTTTAGGACAGATCTTTCTCGACAGTTTATCCAATATTTGTGTTGGCCAAACTTTAGCTCTGAAAGATTCTACGAAACTCTCCGTAGTCTGATTGTTCAGGATGTTATCTGTCAAAACAACAGCGAGATTAAATATAGCATCCACAGGTGCTTATTTTTCCGCACGTAGCAGAAAATTTTCGCAATCTATAGGATTGACGATATTATTATCTTTAACGATCGTCACGTTTACGCCGTAGGATTTCCACAACGAAACCTTTAGCCGTTGGTAACCATTTTTTAAACCGCTTCTTGAAATCAGCGTGACATTTTTTGCACCCCGGGATATCAGTCACTCGGTCAATTCCAATCCAAACCCACCTAGACCACCTAGTATGATGTAAGTTTGATCGCTACGACAGTAGTAACGACGATGCGAGGTGATCGGCGCGTACGCGAGACATTTGTCTGTTTCTTGAATATTCAAAATTATCTACAAATATTTGTATGATAAGAAAAAAGAGGATTTTGATTGATTAAAAAAAAAAAAAAAAAAAAAAATATTTTTGTATTTATATTTACGTACCTTTCCTTTGTGTTTTCCACTTGCCATGTACCTAAAGGCCTTTTCGATTTCTGTTTGCTTGAAAACTGTAGCTTCTATTGGTTTGATAACACCGTTCTTGAGACCATCGGTTATTAATTTCAGTAACTGAGCTTTGTGCTTGTGTTCTTTTCCAAACATTGAATCCAGTAAAACACCGTAAAAAGAGATACCTTTTTTAAATAGTGACAAGTCTAAAGGGTTGTTCGATACAAAGTCAAACTTTCCGATTTCCAAGAAACGACCGTTTTGCGTTAAACAACGAATAGACGCGACGAGTTTCTCCTCCGCCAATGAATTCAGTACTATATCAACACCGCGACCGTTTGTCTGGCGCATAACCATCTCCTCAAAACTGGTGTCGCGCGAATTTCCGATGTGATCGTCGGAAATAGCCGGAAACATTTCTCGTATAAATTGTCGTTTTTCAGCGCTACCTACTGTGGTAAACACTTCGCATTCTTCATGTAGAGCGAGATGAATCGCAGACTGTCCGACACCACCGGAACCAGAGTGTATAAGTACCTTGTCACCTTTTTTCATTTTTCCTTTTTATATATAAAGCGTAATACGACGTACTGTATACGCAAGGAATCGTAGCCGCTTCTTCGAACGTCCATGTATCTGGTATGACCCATTGAAAATCACTTTTTAAAACGATATTAGCGATGCACCTGCAAGTAGAAAGCTTACTTATGTATACCAGGTATATAAATATGAAACCGGAATTTTTTTTTAGAAAATACACGTTTATTGCATAAAAATGATAAGGAATATTTTATTCGAAGTATTGCCCGTTGCTAGTTACACATTTTTCCCACCTGCTTGGCAATTTGTGGATGCCACGCCAAAAAAATTGTTGCTCTTTTGAGCTAAACCAGCCATCTAGCCATTTTCGCACATTTTCGTAACAAGCGAAGCGCTGCTGAGCAAGTGCGTGTCCCATCGATGTAAACAGGTGATAATCGGACGGAGCCAAGTCTGGTGAGTAAGCCGCATGCGAAAGTATTTCCCAACCAAACGTCTCAATCGTTTCCTTGACCGGTTTTGCTGTGTGTGATGGCGCATTATCATGAAGAAAAATCACTTTACGTTGCCTGCTTTGATATTCCGGTCGTTTTTCAGACAAAGCTCGATTCAAATTGATCATTTGTTGACGGTAGCGCTCGGTGTTAACGGTTTCGCCAGGTTTTAGCAGCTCATAGTAGATCACACTTTGCTGATCCCACCAAACACAGAGCATTGTCTTCCGTCCATAGCGATTTGGCCTTATAGTCGATGTTGCTGCTTCTCCTGGAGCTACCCGTGACCTTTTACGCTTGGGATTCTCAAAATATATCCACTTCTCATCGCCAGTCACAATTCGATGGAGAAATGACTTTCTTCTGTACCTGGCGAGATGCATTTCGCAAGTGGTTTTCCGGTTTTCCTGCTGTCTTTCATTCAGCTCATGTGGAACCCATTTTCCTATCTTCTGGATCTTTCCCATGGCTTTCAAGCGTATGGAAACGGCTTCTTGTGTCACATTTAATTGATCCGCGAGTTGTTGTTGAGTTTGAGCGTCATCCTCGGCCAACAATGCTTCCAATTCGCTGTCTTCAAATTTTTTCGGTGGTCTTCCACGTTCTTCGTTTCTCACGTCAAAATTGCCATTTTTGAATTTTTTAAACCACTCATAGCACTGTGATTTACCAAGAGCATGCTCGCCATAAGCTTCGATAAGCATTCGATGCGATTCTGCAGCAGTTTTCTTCAAATGGTAACAGAAAATCAATGCTGTCCGCAAATCATAGTTTCCAGGCACAAAATTGGACATTTTCAACGCTATTACAAACGGTACTCTTGTATGAAACTTGTATTGTGGAGAGTGTAAAAATCTTTGCCAAATGTGAGAACAAGGAAATGGCGTAATGGCGCCGTCTGACAGCAACTACATTGACTGTTATGGCCATCTATTGATAAATTCCGGTTTCATATTTATACACCTGGTACATGTCTGTGTATAAAGATAATCGTACGTTATATTTTTTTTTTTCACGAGTATCAGAGGTGTATGTCTCTTAAATTATATATGTATGTATATACTTATTGTCGCGCATTCCCATTACTCGTCGTCCTTTGGCATCAAATCCTACGTATTCCAGTCCAAGATTCATACTTTCAAATCGCTTTTCATTACCTTCAAAAGTTAATTTTCCTGTGGCAAGCATTACATCTTTAAAATTGATGGATGAATAAACCACACGTATCAAATCATCGCGATGAAACGAATTGATAGATATATCATTCTCCACCCAATAAAATGTACTTAGGTCGCCGAGAACCTGTATAAAGAAATATTAAATTGTTACAAGTAGCATATATACACGCGGAAGATATGTATAACAAAAAGAAATTTTGAACAGCGAATTTACAGTCTGTTCCGCAAGAAAGTGAGTACAATTCGAGACAGTTGTGGGTGTGGAACACTGACTGTACGGAAAAATACACATATTATAGCGAGTGCAATCGAATCAAAGACGTTTCGCATACCGTTTGACAAACGTAAGCAGCGGGAACAAGTGCGGGTTCCGGAGCTGCCAAACAAAAATGCCGGTAAGAACCCCAAGTCTTGTTAGGTCGTAAAATATTGACTGCCATATCTTTCTGCAACTGTTGCGCGTAGAAGGGATCTTGCGGAGAAAATTTCGGAGCGGTCTCGTCTTGAATAAGCACACTTCTGACGAACTCGCCACCAGGTTCTTTTCTTAAGCAATTAACAAAGCCCAATAAACCGCACTCGAAATCGTTTTCGCCAACAACTACAATTCTGTTGTCGTGATCAAATGTTTTTTTCTGGTCTAGAAGTGATTTTAATTTTTCTAACCATTCAAAGTTATCATTGGTAATATGAATAATAGTTGTTTCTCTGATCGGAACTCGTTTCTTCAGAAGCGCAATCATTTCCTTTTCAGTACGCTTTTCAAGAATAATATTTAATCCAAATTGTTTTAAAAGATTATTGTTGCCTGTTAATGCGTAGGAAGCACGATGCGATCCCTCCGTTATCTCTGTTACGTCGTATTTCTCCCGCGATAACAAATAACCACCTACTCTGAGAAAAGGTAAAAGTAATTCTAGTAAGTGCCGCTTCGTTAAAAGATTAAACCCAGTAACTATTGAGACATTGTTGTCTGCGTGTTTCCGTAAATCCGCAACTGTTACGTTCGGTGGCAAGTCTGATGTGTTGAACCGATCAGTCGGCGATGTCATTAGAGTAATAGTTGCTTGTACTAACGGCAAATTGCTGCAAGTTTCAAGTATTGCCCAAGTTGTCAAATCTTCTGTGTTTATAATATCTGTATCTTCCACCAGTTCGATGACTTTCACTTTCGTAATCTGATGATTCTCCAGTGCAATTTGTGTTGATATTCGTATTGCTTCGTGCAAGGAAATCTTTTCCCGATCATGATGCGCTACGAATCTGTGCTCTTCAATAACGGGATCTGCGTTCGGTTTTCTGCGGGCGATCGAAGTAGCTTTCGCATTCCAAATCTCTACGCCACCGGATACTATAAGATCTATGTTTTTATACACTCGTATCGGCAATTCTGAAAGAAATTATATCTTGAATAAAATGTTTTGAATCTTACGCAATTTTCATACATGCGCGTGTAACATATCTTCGAATTTCTTTTATAATAATAATTTGCGAGATAAACTATGTTTTTTCTTTTCTTGAAATAAAAGACTTACGTTTAATATTTTCCGTCGTGCAGTTTTGTAATTTTGTGTTATGAAGAATCGGATTAATTACTATTTTTCGAATACTTGTAGGAACGCACAGACTTTTGATATCTTTCCCAAGTATGTACAGCTGCAACAACGTGTCCATAAACGCGACCCAATTATTTATCCAAACGACGTGTCCTTTGCTACCCGTGACTGATGCGCTTTTTAATCCACGAAATGCACCACTGTATTGATATCCGCGTAATTTTAATTCCTTGTAAATATCCCGAGCGTTCATGTGTTCTTCCTCGTTATCATCCGGTAATAAATCTGATGGTGCGCTTTCTCGTTTGACATCTACTTCAGCAGACACCTCACCCGTCACAACGATATTGTCTCTTTCGCACACTTCGAACTTTCCGCTTTCTACAATAGTTTGTAAAAATCTCTGTTGTGTAATTTTTCTTCTTTAATGTTATTAAAAAAAAAAATCAATTATCTATTTATATTATTTTATTTTTTTGTCCAACTTATTTTATTACTTTCAAAAAGCCTGTGAAAAGAAGAGTAGTAATAAATACCTTTGTGTATCCTAATCGTCAATTCTACAATATCATTTTTCGATATATGAGTAGCGCGAACGAATCTCAAGTCTCGAAACACTACTGGTAATGTTGAATACAATTCTCCTTTGATTTTTCCGATAGTTTCCCATACGAGCACGATGTAACCCATCGCTGGAAACAAGTTTCTTCCATCTATTACATGACCTGTCATATATTCGTAATCTTCGTCAATAAGCTGTATCTCGACAAGTCTTTCTCTGGTTTCAATACATTTTGATACTTCGTGCGATACAAGCCAGTCTTTGGAGTGATCCCATCTAGCAAATAACACTCTTGTTTATGTGAACAATATAATCTACGTGTAGTAAAAGATAAAATTTTTTTATAAATAAAAAGCTAATTACAATTTCTAATAAAACTATGTCTCTGAGAAAAGTTCTTCATATATATGTATATGTATATTTCTTCATATATATGTATATGAACAAATTGGATATCTCGTTAAATCTAGTTATATATAATTATATGCAATTATATGTGACGCAAATGAGATTTTGAATTTATGTAAATTTTAATATGAAAATCAATTGAAGCAGTAAATTTTATGTATATATTTAATAATCAAATTAATTCAGTTTGAACAATTCTGATTGATTTGTATTGAAATTTCATTCAACGCAATGTGTTTTATTTCTTTTTCTTTACATAGTTTCAATAATAATTTCTCAGCAACTTATCGGTGGAGAATTAAATTAAAAAATTCTTAGCAAACGTTCATACTTGATAGATGGAGAGATCATGGGAGTCCCACGGCTAACTGGATATTCTACAGGCGGATACAAAGCAGCGATTTGTGGTTGCAAACCGCAGTTGTAAAGTTTTCCAATTCCTCGCAGCATTGCAGTGACTGGATTTTCGTTTGTGCACTGAGTGAGCGCGATATTAGTCACTTGTGACTGATACAGAGATTCTTTCAAGATGTTCTGCAAAACGCTGGTTGGTGAAATTTCGATAGTCACAGCATTATTTGGAATTATATGCATTGTTTGTTCAAAAAGAACAGTAGACAGTATGTTGTTCGTGAGATAGTCAGCGGAGCACAATTGTGCTGTTGAATTTATGGACCATTCGGTACAGGGTACAGATGTGCTGATCCATTTTGGGCTCCTTTTCATAGGTTGTGATATCAGTAGACTCAAGTTTTTTAAAAGTTTATCTTTGATGGACGCGAGATAATGACTGTGGTAAAGTATATCATTGCAGGAGACTTCTTGCACATGCGTATTACTAGCCTAGTGAAAAATTAAATTAACTGACTAAAGTATAAATTTAATTTATGTAAATTACTTTTTGTGTGTATGCTATATATATATATTAAAAATTTCAGTAAATCTCATTTTAACGGTCGTTAATTAAATCGATTAACGCACCCGTAACTTCCTCGTAAACACGCGCATACATTCCGTAGGTCCACTTATAACGTTGCTCTTTCCATTATTGCGGCGTACAATTCCAATATCTGGAGGACATATATTTTTGAGAATTTTGTAATCGAGATTGACAGTAGCCATAGATCCACGAGGCGCGTTGCTTTTGACACATGCCAAAGCAATCGAGTACGCTGATAGAATAGTTTGTTCAATAGTGAGGCACTTATCTGCATATGCACATCCGAGTTCTCCGACAGAACATCCGATCATGTTATCCGGAATAATTCCCAAAGATGTTAGAAGATCTACTAACCCGATCTGCCACCAATTATTAATTACTTAAATACATATATATTTTACATTTAGATTAGTATCTTTATATTATATATGTATATTTTATATCTTGTAATATATATATATGTATATACAAGATAATTGTTTTAAAAATTTCCAGCTGATTATCTCAAAAAGTGCAAAAGATACAAAAAAAGTAAAAACACTTGTTTCATGATTTCGAGAAAAAAAGAGAACGATATTACTAGTTTTTTTAGTTTGAGAGCGTTTTTCAAGGTCATTTTGAAGTCAACTTTGTTTTTAAATGGAAACTTGTATTTTTTATTACAGAAGTTTATTCTACGCAACAAAACAAACGACTTTTGTAGGAAACAGGTTTGTTATCTAGCATTATTTTCACAGATATTTAAGAAAATAACGCATTGATCATTGTTGCGTTTTTAAATTATATACTTTTGATATTAGAAAAACTGTTTTGTACATATATATGTATATATATATAAACTTAAACTCTATTATAATAGTATATTGTGACAAAAGTAAAAACATTAAAGCTATTATTATTTCCAAGAATGTTAGAGAAAAACACACATAAAAATTTGTCTATTCATCATCTTCATTTTCATAAAAAAGAATGTATAATCAGTATATTGACGTCTTCCTGTTGATTTGACTTTATTATTATTTGTAGATTTTCCGAGAGTCCGTGCGGATTTTCAAATGCAAATTTTACAAGGTTAGTTAGTAACTTTTCAAAAAAAGATAAAAAAAAGGCGCCAAGTATACGCGCAACTCGTATCTCTAAAAAGAGTATTACTATATTACTGTGCTACATAAAAACTCTTTCTCTACAAAATCTATTCTACAAAAGAAATGATATATCCATAACTAGCGCCAAGTAAATTTTGTACATTTATACGTTGTTACAAAATAAAATATTAGAAAACTATAAAAATAGCTTTGCGTGAAAAGTCTTAAACCATATCAAATTATACATTTATAGACTTTGCTTTGTGTGAAAAGTCGAAAATCTATGTAAAAGTATTTTTAAAAAATAATCAAGTAAAATCTTGTTTATACATGGTAAATATAAATTATTATATAAAACTTTATATAAAACTATTATATAAAATATAAAATTATTATATAAAACTATTATATAAGTTGTTTATGTTATTGTAAAATATATCTAAAACAATAGAAAATTTAAAATATTGTGCGACTAATGTACTTTTTATATAAAGCACCCATCGATATATAAGAAATGATCTCGTCTTGCGTGGAAAATTTTAAACTATGTCAAATCATATATGTAGATTTCGCTTTGTGTGAAAAGTCAAAAATCCATATGGAATTTGTCAAAATAAAAAATATTTAATACAAAAAAACTTGGCATTGCTGCACCGCGTCAATTTAAGGATACTTTCCATTACGTACACAAGCGACTGTGTAACAAAGTGTTTATTAATTAATGAGAAACAACATATCAGTGTGTCTCATTCACACACTAGTGAACACAGTATCGCCTAAGTAAATAGCTGAAAAGCATTTAGTTTTCGGTGCAGCCACGCCAAGGTTTTATGTAGCACAGTAATATAGTAATACTCTTTTTAGAGATACGAGTTGCGCGTATACTTGGCGCCTTTTTTTACCTTTTTTTGAAAAGGTAATTTTTTTGGGATTTAATATATAACGTTTGATTCGTTGCAGTGATCAATTTTATGTACCAACTTAAAGTAACAATGTCACATAACACTTCAATGTCAACTAACAATGACAAATAACATTTCAATTTCAACTAATATTTTATCTAGCACTCTGTCAAATTTTTTGAATGCATATTATAATCAATAATTGACGTGTGCATCCGTGAAAAATATTTAAAGTTTGACTGTGTTTACTTTTCGCTATTACAATTACTTTAATTTTTAAAACCTCGATATGCAAACTACCATATCCATATTTGTAAATTACACAAATTTAGCTGCTGAAGTAATCTTTTGGGTAAATTAATTATAATTCATTGAAAAGAATATAATATCCTAATATCCAAAGTGTCAAATCTAATAAGTATCTTATGTTTTAATTGTTGTCATGCAAGACCTTATATACTTTTAAACTTATTATACTTCTGAAATGCAAATATATTGTGTTTAAAAAAAATTATTAGAATTTCAGAACATCAAAACGAAGATAAAGCAAACAGTTTTCAGACGCTTGCAGCATGCAGCAGCAAGTGGACGAGATACGCACACAGGCGGACAGTCGTGTACGTGTGCGCTCGACGCTTCGGCTAGCTTCAAGCAGTAGAGAGAGGCAGACATATATAACTGCTCTCTTTTTTTCGCTATAGCTATAGCTATAGCTAAACCGCCAGCCGCGAGAAGCGTGCTTAGTTGCTAGCCTATTTTTCGCGCGTGGCTCGTATGTTCCTTCTCTCTTCCTCTTTCTCTCTCTCTCTCTCTCTTTCTCATATTTACATGGGCTGCGTTCCGATCTTCACTGCCGGTACTGGAAATCTATAGCACATGTGACGTAAAATATAAATTTGTAGTATTATCTGTAGTAGATAGCAGTAAATATCGGGACGCAGCCTACAAAATAAATCTGAAAATAATAATAAAATAACGAATTTAATATTATAAAATATAATATATAAATAAATAGATATTATATATATTAAATATATTTTATATATTTGAAATATAAAATTAAAAATATAAATAAATTTAATATCATATGACTAAAATTTAATATTAAATATTATATTTAATACAGGGTCTTTCAGATTAAACGCTCACGCAACAAACATAAAAAACTCCTATAAAAATTTTTTTTTTTGCTCCATCGATGGTAACACTGAATTCCCCAACTCGGGACGAAAATATTCGGCTACTGGTTAAGTCGGTGAAGTTTGTTTATAGTGTCAAAATGTACGATTTAACGGAACGCGTATAATAACCTCGACTAATCATAACCTCGCTCAAACTCTGACCTCTTACGGTAAGAGTTTTAATGTTCATCGTCGAAAATTGCCCCAAAAAAGTGTAATCTTACGTCTCGTGAAGAAGTTCGAACTAACCGGTAGCGTTCTCGATGATAGAGTTGGAAAATGTGGCGCGAAACGAACTGCGCGCACGCCGCAAAAAATCGAGCAGTTGCAAGAGAGAGTCCACGCCAATCCCCGCAGCAGTCTGACTCGTTTAGCTTGATTATTTTCTTTGGGGCTATGTGAAGGATCGCTGCTACGTTAATAATCCGACAACTTTGGAAGAACTTAAAGAGGAAATTACGCAGATCTTTAATAGCATCAAAGTGGGAATGTTAGAGTTATGTATGAAGAACTTTGTTCATAAATTAAAACGAGTTGTTGAAAATGACGGTGGTCACATCGAAAATATCCTAAAATAAGCTTTCTTTTCGTGTATAACAAATAAAAATCGGTTCATTTTTGTAGGAGTTTTTTATGTTTGTTGCGTGAGCGTTTAATCTGAAAGACCCTGTACTATATATATAAAAGATAAAGGAAAAAATTCAAATTTAGTTATATCGCCACACAATAATTAATTAATGAAATATATATTCATATAATAAATATTATATAGACAAGTATTAGTTTAAATTTCTTTCTTTTAAACATTTCATACTAAGTACTACCGAATATTAAGGATATAAAATAAACATAAAATGTAATTAATTTTTTCTTATTTATTAAAAAACTTATTGACCAACAAAAAATTTGTCTCGAAGCACTTTGGAAACAAACAAACAGCGCTTTCATACATAAAAAAAAAACAATATAAATAACAGTGCAAATATATACAGAATAGATACAAAACCATATAAGAAAATATATAAAACTAGTAATAAATATCTTAATTCGTTTTAAAAATATATAAAATTAACAAATATATGCATATATAACAATTCACAAATATATAAGCGTATCGTCATATTCACGCAAGTGATATTTAGATTCACATTTTTTAATTTCTTGACTAGTTGAACACACTCTTTTATTAATAAATTATTGATACGCATCTCGCGCTGTATCGCTTGTGTTCTTAAACAAATGTTGCTAATAAAGAAAACTAATGCGTCACTTTATAAAATGCAATCTCATTTTATGACACGCAGCAACAATCATTATGTTATATATTCTGTATTTTGATACGAAACTTGCATATGACATAGAAATATAAAATTTTCTTTCCGTTGTTATTTTCCATTTTTTCAATATGTGATTAACAAATAGTAGACGTAAAGAGTAACAATGATCGCTTCTACGTTGTCTTCGATAGAAACCTGCAGTTTGATGTTATCTTTTTTTATATCGGAATCAAAAACGATTTGTCGCATATAATTAATAATGTGTGTGTGTGTGTGAATGCAATCAAAAATAATAATAAATTTTCTTATTTATCTTTCCGGTGTGTACGGTTGCAAATATGATATTTTTGTACGAGTAATCTGCTGCGAGTATACAGTTTGTCGTAAATTGAGCGTTACATATGTAGCTTACAAAATAATTTTCTAAGTCTAAACAATATATGTGTGTGTGTGTGTGTGTGTGTGTGTGTGTGTGTGTGTGTGTGTGTGTGTGTGCATATATATATATATATATGCACAACATGCACGAAATATTCAATGTAACCGATTTATCTTAACATTCTGTAATTTATATAACGCCTGTGATACTTGTCGATTTCATACTTGAAAATATAGAATTATTTAATCGTACTTAATCAATGCTTTAATTCTTTAGAAAAGTAGATTTACTGTAAAGAAACATTTACTTGTCTTATCACTATGTAGTAAAAAATAATGATGAATTTTTCTATTTAACTTTTTCTTTACGGTGTATGTGGCCGCAAATATAATATCTTTGTACGAAGAACTTTACCGTGAATACATACTTTACCATACATTAAGCGTAATCTAACAATTGTAGCATAAGAATTAATGTTGTAAGTTTAAACTGTATGTGTGTGTATTTTTTTGTGTGTTATGTATATTATTAAGTATTACATGAGCGTCGACTGTAGTCGGCGTTAAGAATGAAAGGGTTAATATTAAATACTCGCATTATTTATGTATAATACATGTTAGTTAGGTCTCGAAAATCTGCAAGAGCACAAAGCGGTCGAGTTTTATATGGCTATCCACTTTTTTTCGGTATATAAATCTCTTGTACTTTGTGTTCAATTTGTCGGTGGAATAAGTGACAGAAACTTTCATATCGCTGGTGTCGTCTCTTTTTCTCTTATTTATTGCTTGTAATAACGCGTATAGTTGAGCGTCTTTTGAGATTGATCTTTGGTACAACAAATGGAAAGTCAGGACACATAGATCACAATGGTCGGGTCCACTGGTTTTTTTTGTAGCAGTCGGTGTGGCGATAACTCACGTAAGGCTGAGTCTAGGAATCTTTCTATCCAGCGATGACATGCCATCGAGAATTTCCAAGCTTATGGATGATGGAAACTCAATTTCGCAGTTTTTACAATAAGATAGATGGTTTTTGGTCCATATTAACTGTAGAATTACTTTAGAAGTACAGGGTGACCAATGGGAATGTGTTGAAAGTAAATAGTTATTACTTCGTAACAAATAGGCCAAATAAAATGAATTAAACGCCATTTTGTAGAGAAAACTTGTCAATTTTATTACCATATATATGAAAGAGAAATATATTAATTTCACAATTGAAATTCTCATTAAAAAAAAAAAAATAGAAAAATTTTGCTTGCGCATATGAATTAATGGTATATGTTTTCAAAGTGTTGTCCATTAGAATTAGCACAGAACTGCAATTGTTTGCAAAAACTTTGAAATACATTATCTAACATAGATGTAGGAATGCTGCGAGTGCATTTTTTAATACTATTTATCAGCTTTGCGGTGTTTTGAGGTTGTACGGCGTAACATTTGTCTTTGAGGTAACCCCAAAGAAAAAAATCACACGGGTTCAAATCAGGTGAATAAGGAGGCCATTCCAGACATCCATGAGCAAATTTCGGGTATCCTAATCCAATTACTCTGTAACAGTTACCGAAATCGAGGAGGGGATGTATAACTATTTACTTTCAACACATTCCCATTGGTCACCCTGTAGATCGGTAAGACATTCAAAATCATATGGAGTCATCTCCATTTGCCGGACGAGTAGCTTCGGTAGAAAGTTCGATTTGCAGAAATATAACACTCTTGAGCAACATTATCTCTTGTTTTATAGCTTATGAGCGTTATGCGCATTCCTTGAGCGGAACGTCTTGAAGAAATTCATCGTCCATTTTTGAAGCCATCCGTCTTCGAGAAAGTCTTTTCAATTTTTGCTTGCGCACAGCAATTTTGTCAACTTCTGACATGATGTTTATTAACATAACAATTGCAGTTGATAATGTCGTTACCAAGAGGATATTAAGATCCATCATCTTCTTGTAGTTGCCAGTTAGCGCAAGTTAAAGAGCGCTAATGGTGCTGAAGGTTTACGTTTGAGGTTTGTCACTGGTAAATCCTATTCTTATATACACTGGTAAATTCTATTCGAAGATTTAGAAGATTTGAGTGTGTCTAGCTTAGCATATCAGTTTTTCATTTAAGAACAATCTCTTTGCATAATGGTGTACCGCTGTTTGAAATGTAGTAGTTGATCTTCTTTTGATGAGCTTGAATCTTCTTTTCAAGTCAAATCATAGAGATTTTAGAGACTTTCGAGTTTTTTCTACTTATGCGCGTTATATTTGCATTCAAACATATCAGCCGGAGCCAAAGGTAAAGCCATAGTAAGACCAAGAATCTTCCTTGGAACTGCTGTTAATCGTAAAGCTCTCCAACGTCTTAACACAGCCTACACAAAGAGTAATATTAAATAGAAACCGAGAGAACACGTAAGTTGGAAAAAGCTTTCTAGATTACTAAATGTTCTATTTTTGCTATTGTAGAAATTCTACGTGTATATACCTGATTGAAATGAAACCAGCAACCGGTTAGTCGCGAGTCCGGGAAAATCTCTCTTGCAGCTGTCATTGCCGCACGTTCATAATCGCTCATGACTAATCGCACTTCTTGCAATGCATTTGGACGCAGCTCCTTCACTTTTCGCCAAATTGCGACATACACATCCATTGTGCGTTTTTCGCACAACGCAAACAGAACAGCTATACCCTAAAATAGATAAAAATAGATAAATCTCACTCTCTCTCGTCAAATTAAATCTCTAACAAAAGTGAGATGTTTGAAAACTCATATTTAATTCAAAATGTGTCAGTGTTCATAAAGTGTTAAGAAAAAGTAAAGATACACTTGCGAAGTGTGAAATGATATATACTTTGCACATTGTCAAGAATAACGCACAAACGTTACTGATATGAAAGGAAAGTGAAAGTTGTTAGATTTGTATACCATCTTTTACGTACAACTTACCGTATCCATGTATCGTACGTGGATGGTATATAATTGCGCGAAGGATGGCACTCTGGGAACTACCTGCACACAAAAGTAAAAATAAGTAATATTCAAAATATTACGCATTTCGGCATCTTTTTTTTTTGTTGTTATATTTTTCTTTTTGTTGAATACAATATCAAATGTCATGTATGTTAAAATAAAATGTCAGATATTGCTCACCGAAAATGTACCATCCATATAAACTTCTGTAGCTGTTTCTAAAACATCTAGTAGAGCATCACTTGTAAATATAACTGCTCTATAACCTTCATCCGATAATACCGTGCCCTTAAAAATATGTTGAACTGGTTGATAACTCGTCAATGCCGCATCAAGTCCGGCAATGGTTTGTGGTGTTTCCGGCCTTTGACGTAATTGTTCCCTATATAGAAGGTTTCTCGCAGCGGAATAAGATATCTTTGTAGCCGCTATTGGATATCTGAAAAATAAAAGCAAACTTTTATCAAATTATATACACATGTGCCAAAAACTTAAATGTATAATATATTGCAAGATGTTAATGAAAAAATGCTTCTAATTTATTTTATATAAATAAATACTATTTTAAAAAGTATTTATTACATTCTTTATTTTTCTATTTTTTCTTAGATTATTTTATATGCAAATAAGAGTTAAATGCATACAAGAGAATAATTGCCAATTTCCTTCAAATATCTTTAAAACATTGGAAAACTAAATAATGCTTTTGAAAAGTAGTAAACTTATTGCAATGGTTAGTTTTCATTGTTCTCTTCACTGTATATAATATGTTTAGTGCATAACTTGCTTCGAATTTGATGATTATGATCGTTTGTAATACGTTTTGCATTTCTCTAAACGTTAAACAATTTCGTAATGTAACAAGATATTAGAATTATTTTTTTATCCACATAAATTTTATGTAATATGAAATATTTGTATTCAAATATAACGTGTTTTTTTGTAACCATTTTGGCAAAGATACAATACTGAAAAAATATTAAAATACAATATTAAAAAGCAATCTTTTAATTATAACTTTTGCATAAAAAATCTTTAAGACAAAAAAAATTATCGGTTTCATCTCGTTATTATACTATGGTATATTCATATTTAACAATCTTCTTTATACGAAATAAAAAACAGTATATAATGTCTCTTTGTGATTTTATTGAGCAAAGTGATAAGGAAGAAGAAATGTGTCTTTTATTCGTGGGTTACGCAGTGCGCAACATATTCAGTTTTTAATACATACAGAAGAGTGCACCATATCATGTCGCGTCAGGGGAAGTATTTCTCGAAAATTTCTCTTCCGAGAAATACTTCTCCTGACCCTACTACCGCGCGCCGTTCTCTTTCGATTTCGGGCCGCTGGTGGAAATCAAAGAATTCAATAATGCATTTAAAAGAAAAATAGTGTGCGATAAGCTTCTCTACAAGTTTGCATTATTGAAGAATAGCGCTGTGCGCAGTATGCGCGGTTCTCAATTGTCGATATGTCAGACTCGCGATTCTCGAGAACAAATGACAATTGTAACGCCTTGCAAGTTCGCATTATTGTGGTGTACTGATGTATAAGAAGCGATGATCCTCTATATTTATAATTAGATTTCAATAATTTGATTTCTTTTAAACATTAGGAGTTTGTAAAAACCATGTGTACAATTAGTAAAGATATTGTGCGAACAATAATTTAAGATAAACACCGTTTTTCAGGTTATATCTTTCTCAATACTAAGTCTTCTATCACATAGAACGGTTATGGAAAAAGTTATGGAAAAATTACCGGGAAAACATGTAGGCACGAATGTATTTATATACGATGGATATGTTTATCATATGGACAAGCGATGCATAAGAACTTATCGATGCTCATCGCGGCGAAGTTTGGAATGCTACGCGATATTGATGCAAAATCTAGATGAGACGTATATCTTGAAAGTACCACACACTCATCCGGCAAATGACACAATATTGCAGCAGATTGAAATGAAACAGGAGATGCTGCGAATGTGTCGAGAAACGTTGATGAAACCAAAAGAAATATTTGATACGATATGCCGAAGGTAAATCAACGTGCACAAATCATAAAGTATAAAATAAATCAAATGCACAAACAATATGATAAAAACATTATATAAAAATAGTTTGTGCAATTGTTATCTTTTGAATTGTTGTTATAGCTTTGTTCCATTTATTGGCCCGAAATCGAAAGAGAACGGCGCGCGGTAGTAGGGTCAGGAGAAGTATTTCTCGAAAGAGAAATTTTCGAGAAATACTTCCCTTGACGCGACATGATATGGTGCACTCTTCTGTATGTATTAAAAACTGAATATGTTGCGCACTGCGTAACCCACGAATAAAAGACACATTTCTTCTTCCTTATCACTTTGCTCAATAAAATCACAAAGAGACATTATATACTGTTTTTTATTTCGTATAAAGAAGATTGTTAAATATGAATATACCATAGTATAATAACGAGATGAAACCGATAATTTTTTTTGTCTT